TCCTGGAGAACAATCTTCATCTGTGGATGTTTGTGTGTCATCCATGATGAAGCAGAATCTGATCTCCAGCACTGACTCTGAATAGAAATGAGAAACAAACTCAATAATTCAGCTGAACGGATCCTGAGAGCAACAGATGATGAGACGCGGCGTTCACTCAGATACACAATGTTAGTCGTGTGTTAACAAATGATCAAATACACCACAGACAACACCACACACCAATCAAACCACGCTCATCTGCTTGCAAGAGAAAATATTAAACATAAAACTAAACGTCCTTTAGAGGAGATATGAATGCGGAAGTCACTGTAAAGCACCTGAGCATCAGCACTCACCTTATTTACACAGATTCACAAAATCACCGGCTTTCTATGAAGCAGCTGCACGTTAATCATGGCTTAGCTTTTATAAAGGTTCCTATGAAACACTTTGATATTCCGTATAGAAGCGATTCTGGCTGTTTAAATGGAGAAACCTCAACTCTGAACGTTTACTTTCACTTCTTCTTTGAGACACGAAAAACAATGATGACGCCGACACTGCACGCAGCTATAATGCTTTAAACTCCACACACAGCGGGAAAACGTTTGTGATCTCAAATCATTCGTTCAAATAACGTACACGTTTTAGCATACAAAATTGTTTTTAAAAAAATCTAGCATTTGTACAAAAAAAAAGAAGAAACAAAAAGAAGCAGTGTATAAATCAAGAGGCAACCTCCCCGTCTCGCTCTTGAAACCTACACGAAAGTGACTTTTGGCTGCTAGAGACCGGCTCCAGAAGTGAGTCAGGCCCATAGACTAGGGGGACCATATTTTAGTTTTCCAAAAAGAGGACGGGGGGGGGGGGGGGGGGGGGGGGGAGTGGAAAGAAACAAAACAAATGGAGAGGGGCATAGAGAGATGGAATATAAAAACAAATCAATATGAGACACACACACACACACAAACAAATGAACACAGCTATCCGAACCCGCACACACACTCACAACATAGAGAGAGGGTGATATAAGCAAGAGCAGGAGTGAGGATATAAACGTAAAAAAAAAACAACTATAGCAGACATGGTTTTAGCAAATACAACTGGACGTGATCTTAAAGGGAAGCATGTACAGACATCTTCTGAGAAGCAGCTTGTAAAATGTTGAGCCACTTGTAACACTGTTATTGGGCAATATAATCAATATTTCTTGTGCATTTTCATGCATCAATTATTTGAATGCATTTTTTTTTTACTTTCCTAAAAACAGCATCTTGCAACAT